ATATATATATATATATATATATATATATATATATATATATATATATACACATACAATATTTCTAAACTCTAAACGCTCTAAAAGAGCGCAGCATGTCATGATTTCAGCTCTCTGCCTTCGGCCAGCGCTCTCGGCCACGCCCACTTCTCCACAGCAGAGTGGAGGTCTGGCACGTTGCAGGAGGAAGCTTCTCCTACAACTGTGGGCTGCACACAAGTGCAGCAGGTGCTAAATAATTTAAAATACTTTATTTTAAATAAAAATTCCATGTCGATCGTGTAGCTCATCCATCAATCAGCCAACTGTGTGTCATGTCCAATCTTATTTTGAAAAAAACGCGACAGAGCAAGTCCATGAAAAATGAACCGCAAAGTAGTGAAGGACTATTGTATTACTTTAACGGCTGCAGAATGTGGTTTAGGATGTTGCTACTTGTTTTGTGTTTTCCATCTTGAGCCAAACTTGTCAAACTTTCAACATTTCAGGGGGAAAATGTTGCTTTTTGGTGATCATCTTGCAAATACAGTCAATAACATCACTCATTTTTGCTGATTACATGGTTTTCAGGCAAATTTCCACATTCTGATACACTTTCATATTCTTGTTCATATGCATGTAAACTGTAGATCAAAGGTTCTTTACCTCTAAGATGTTCTGGATCGAGATGGTTTCTTTCATCTTTGGAGGCAAGGTGAGCCGAGACTCCCAGGGCTCCAGTCAGTGCCAGAAGCCCAGAGCCCCCCGCACCCAGGGACAGACCTGATGGGTGTGGCGTCAGGGGGATGCCGGGAGCGTGGTGAGACAGGTGCTGGAGCTGCTGCTGCTGTGGCCACAGGGCAAGAAGGAAACCGGGAGGGACGGAGACAAATGATAAAAAAAGAGTAGGAGGTTAAAAAATACTAAAATAACCACCGTGAAGTCACAGGAAAATGCAGGTTATGTGACTGGAGTGTTATTGTTGAAAAAGTGAGTACACGTTTAAAAAAATTAGGATGTTAAAAGGATCATAACATTATGAACAAAAGATGAGAACAGAGAAATGACAGAGGAAAATGAACAATCAAGACAAACAAGAAAATTTAAAAAAAGTAGTTGAGTTGGAAATCAAACAGTGACGGAAGAACAAAAGGTAGAGGGAAAATGAGGCAATGCAATGTATTAGAAAGGCAGCAGAAAGATGAAGGTAGGAAATGATCAGGGGGAGAGCATGGAGATGAAAAAGGGAGGAAAACGCTTGAGTCAGAGAAATCGTGGAGAAACAGTGAAATCAGGAATGTAATTTAAGTGAAGGAGGACATCACGGGAAGAGATAAAAAAATGGAAGAGCAAGATAAAAAAGATGGAAAAGAAGAGAAAACATGGTCCAAGTAAGAATTTGGAGGGGATGGATGGGAAAACCCAGAAAAATAAAATGAGCACGAAATGCAAACAATGTGAGAGAGCAATGGAGGAGAACGTGGAGAGCAAAGGAACAGCTACAGATAAAACAAGGCTATTATCCTGTGTGCGTGCGGTGGTGGTGGGGGGATCCTAATGGGGTCTGTATATTAGACCCACACATATAAACACACACCTCGGAGGGAGAAAAGTGCTTGTTGTGCTGGGAGGAACACGGGGCTTTAAGTAATGTGATCAGAGATCTGACAAGCTGCACGAAGCTCCATCTGCAGCACCCAGGAGCATCACCGTGGTCTCACAGGTGCATCAGACAGGAATAATGCTTCAGGTGATCATGGGTTATTACATATTACTTTAGAGCACAAAATATTTACAGACTATTTAGTCTGATTAGGGAAAGCAGATGCATTTAAAACAACATTAACGCAGAAATCCTTGGAGCTGAGCTGTAACTGAACGCAGCGTACATCATTCTGTAACTGAGCATTAGTATGATTACTGTTCTTTTTACAAGACTTAATGCCGTTTAAACTGACTGGCATGACAGAAATTACTTTTACTCTCTTCAGCTGTGGCACAATGTATCCAATGGCTGTCTTAATCACAAGCATGCTATCAAAGGTTTAGCATTAAGTAGAATATTCTCCATCCAGCGATGTGGCAAAAATGGTCAAAGAGCGAAACACCCAGTGTAGTAATTTTGTGCATTAATCATCAGGGGAAGAATAGCTCTATGTGTGGGTGAGTGAACTAAACATTTTGAGTGAACAGTGTTTGGTCGTATGTACATGCGAACACAACACTTGTAAACTTGTAAAGACCCCATTAAAAATGTCTTTCATTTCAGCCTCTAAAAATCTAGACGCTTTGAGGAAAAGAACATTAATCTTCATTTTGACCCAATACCCAGTGAACAAATTAAGCAGTATTTGTGCTGTTCCAGCTGCCAGCCTGCTGTTAGGTAATTTAAGCTTATTTGTGATGCAAAAACAAGCGGTTTCTTTCACAGCCTTCGTGCACAATAACACAAAAATATTTGATGCACCTTTTGATACGTGCTTCGTTCGAAATTAACCCTCTTTTGTGTTGAAGAACAATAATTATAACAGAAAAATATGTGACTTATGTCAAAAATAATACCTGCTACACGAGAAACATGTTTAAAATGCGTACACCTGCTTCCTCTGTGAAAGGACATTTTTTAAGTCTGTGGAAGTTGCGTCAAAGAGCTCCAACAGGGTTTAAACACTTGTATTCTTGAATGGGAACCAGTAAGGAACACCTGCAACATTTGTCCAACTTTAAGTGTGCCTCAGTCACAAAAACATTTCCCATAACTGTTGAGAACACAAACTGCAATATTATTTTATATCATATAATTTATTATATGATTTATAATAATATCACAGTAGGACAGTTTTTGTTGTTTTTTTTTTTAAATCAATAAACCAGCTGACGTCAGCACCCCTAATTGAGCTGGTTAATGGGACTTAGTGCGATCAGCCTTTTGGTGAAGTAATTTCCAGAAAAGATTTGAGGCATTCGCAGGCTTTCATCACACCCAACCTCTAACTAACCTACAACTCAAAGGCATCCTTTCTGTAGTGTTTACAGAATACAAGCTTTATATATATCTGCTCCACGCCTTGTTTCCTGTTTTTGATGTATTTTTGTGGCAGTGCCACAGCGCCACACACAGGCCTGGCATATGTACTACAACGCTCTGACTCGTTTTCTGTGTTTCCATGTGAATGAAGGCAGCTCTTGAAAACGTATTGTAAAATAAGTTTTTTGAAACAACAAATAAAAGATTGTTCTGAACAAAACATTGGTTTCCCTGTGGGCACGATCTTATTTAGTGAGTGTTGTTTTGTTGTGACTCACCCCGATAATGGCATTAAGTTCGGCCATGGTGACTTGCTTGGCCCTCTCCACTGCTTGGACCACTTGCTGCTGGTGCTGTTAACACAATGGTACACAAACAGCAAAACATCAGCAGAACATTAAAAAAACATTCAAACACACACTTCAAATGCTATAAGAAAATGATAAAATGATATGTGGTGTATGATAATATTAACTTTCTGTAAACTAACCTGGATAGTATAAACACAACATAAGTTGTTATATTGTATTTTTATGTTATTTATTTATTTATTTATTTATTTGTTTTGCTTTGTTTTGTTTTTTGAATGTCCAGAGGACCAGATTTAAATTTTTAGATTTTTCTACCTGGATTATTGAGCATGCATCAGGATGTTGTTAAATTGTTTGGAGTCCAAACAATACAACTATACTTAGCACATTTTAATATCTAGATTAGACAAGTAGAACAAAATAAACAAATAAAAAAACATTGAAAAAAAGTCACAAATGAGCACACATTCTGTAGCCAGACACACAAACGCTGAGCCACAAACGACTAAAATCTCAGCTCCATTTACACTAGATCCTAAAGTAATCAGTTACACAAATATACACGTGTGTGACAGCGCCTCCACATATGTACTGTATACACACACGCACACACACACACACACACACACACACACACACACACACACAGGTTTGTTTTGCTATCTTTGTGGGGCCTTTGCATTGACTTCCATTCATTTTTCATTCATTTCTATAGCCTAACCATGACCTTTATCCATAACCTAACCATTACCAGTACATACCTAACCCTAACCTAACACATCCTCAATTCACACCTTAGTCCTAAACCTAGCCCCTAACCCACCAACGGGACTTCTTCTTATGGGGCCCGGGCTTTGGGCCCCATAAGGAGCAGTTGGTCCCCACAATGTAGTATAAGTTGGAAAAATGGGCCTCACAAAGTAGCATAAACAAGGACACACACACACACACACACACACACACACACACACTGTCAGTAATAATCAAACTGACAAAGTTTGACCTTGCTGTTTACAAGTAACACATTCATCAGATGACTGCAGGCTTTCATACATGCACGCACTCACGTGCACAGCAAACCTACAACACCAACATACAGTGGGAAACAAGTATGATCACCCCCCCCCCCCCCCCACCCCCCAAAAAAGTCTGGACTTTTTCCTCTTACATACTCCATCATATATTACATACACACTCACAGAAATCATGAGCTTATAGTACATGTTATTTTTCCAGTGATTTATGCTTAAATTTTTATATTAATTAAAGTAAGAAAAGATGAAGTTTAGCTTAAGGTTTGTTATTATTCAGTCTCTAAACTCCTCTCACGCACGCATCAAATCCAGCAGAACTCTTGTTTTTTGCTTTGATTTCTTCATTTTCAAACCAAAAAAAAAGTGTGTTTACCAATACTTTAATTATCAGAGATTGGTTGACTAAATTTCTCTTTCTTTTAATCACAAACAATAAGAGAAACTATGCAATAAATAAGTTTAATTTTCAGCAGACCCAGTTGACAAGAGGAAGGTAATGAGCTGTGCCTTTATCAATATGCACGCTTGCAGAAAGCTTTAATGAGTAAATGAATTGTATCAATTAACACCTATATGCTTCAAATTAAGCTCGTGTTTAATATCTGCACCTTTTAACTTGCACTGTTACGAATGATGCATTCACATTTTGTCATTGAGGCACGGAGGGCGTGACTTTGTGTGTGTGTGTGTATATTTTGTGTGCCTGTAAGTGAGTCTGGCAGCACTTACCTCTTGAGAGAGGAAAGGGATGATCTGAGCGCAGATGGCACTGAGACGCTTGACAATCTCTGCCTGCGATGGAAAAAAAAAAGAGACAGAAGGAAGGAGAAGGTGATATTTAATCATGTTGCATATTGTAAGGTGGTAAGTACACAAGGAACGAGGCGCGTGCGGCACACCTTCACAGCACATTATGTCTTTGCTGCGTTCAAACACTTTCTTAATGAGTGAGGTCTGTCAGTGACAGCTCTATGAAACCGAGACAAGAAAAATACAGCGAGGGGGTGTAGGAGGGAAGAGCAACAGTTCTCGTCGGGTCTTTTAGCACCTTCACACTCTCATTTGTCTCTTACGTGCTTGAATTTTCCTCCGTCTCTCACTTTCTTCTTTCACATCACACAAACATCAACGATAACAAGCAGATCTTTTTTAAAAGCAGCTCAGTTTGCTTCTCCTCGTCTTTATACTTGTTCATTTGAGGTTTAATTTCCACATACACTGTATTTATTCTCTCATCCGTCCTGAGAATACAGCTGTGTGTACACGTCACATATGAAAACATAAAACTAACACACACCCCTCCTGTCTCTCTCTTCACTCACACACACACACATTCACGCTGAGCCTCTGTGGTGTGTCTAATTCTATCTGTTTGAGTGCCCTCAGCCTCATTTTGTTCTCTTCTTCACTCAGCCGTTCTCCCTTTTTCTCCAGCAGCTCTCAAACTGAGCCATTATTACACTATTCATCCTCTTCCTCCCATCCATCCCCCTATCTCTCTCTATCTCTCTCCCATTGCTTTTTAGATTTATCTGGGTTTTCTCCCATCTTTCAACTTTTTTGACATCATTTGCTTTCTCTCCATTACAATTTTTTTCTGCCTCTTTTCCCTCAGATAAGCTTTTTTCTTCTTCCACATCATCAGCTGCCCTCATCGGTTTTTATGTTTCTTTGCTGCCATATTTTTCCACACGAATGCTATTTTCTTCATCAACTCCTAGCTTTGCTTGCTTTCTCTCCAGCTTTAGCTAAAACATGTTCCAGGCATGAGGATTTTGGAGGAGGACAAAGCCTGTGCAGGATACATTAGAGACCAGCTGAATACATTGGCGTCAGAAGCATTTGTGATGTTGGGGGTGGGACACACTGGTGGATGCATCTGGGGGGTTCTCCACCAGAAGATTTTGAATAAACTTACCACATGCATCCTACATAGGCTCTGACATTTTGGTAAGGTTGGGTGTCCACGTGGACACCATCAACAAGGTGCTGTGGTCCCTGAAACCAGTCACAAAGGATACTCCTGTGCTAGACACAGCGAGCCTTAAGGCTGGGCAGACCATTCCAGAGGCCTGCCAGGTTGCTAGCAACCAAGACACCACAGTACCACCTCAGGTGATAAACCTAATGGTGCGAATCCACATAATAGCTGGACAAGCTATTAGCCATAAACAGGCATATTTTCAACCCTCTCCTGCGTTTTTCAACTTGGGACTGTCCGTGGAAGCCACGAACCAGGTGAGTCTTGACTCCAGAACCACATCTATTGCTGTGTGTAACACTGGCATGGATGAGGTGCTGATCCCAAAAAAGACTATGCTAGGATGGTTGATTTCAACTGACTTTCATGATTTTGAACTAGGCATTCCATTTCTGGGAGGACTCCCAGACAATCTGGTACCGAGTCAAGAAGCTGGGCCAGTATGGTTCACAAAACCAACACAGGCCATAGCTCTTTTCTCAACCAATGATGTCGACCAAGGACCTCAAACCTATGGTGTTTTACCCATAGACAGGCCCGACGACTCAGAAAGGGATTCGTTGGAGCTCCCCAAGGAGCAAGAACCCTTATCAGTCTCATCACAGATTGATCAGGTGGTCGCACAAGCCGACGCTCTGACATCTGATGAAGAAAG